TTTTTTTTTTTTTTTTTTTTTTTTTCTTCAAAAAGCCCGGGGTGTTGTAGAGGTCGGTGTCTGGACCCATGACAGGTACCTATCTACAGGCAGCAACTAGTTTATGGGACCCAGACCATCCTATCTTGGAGGATCCCCCTCAGACAGGCCCTACTGCAGGTTCTCCAACGATTTCCTCCAGCAGAGTCTATCTACTAACACCCCTCCTACCGGGATCCATTAAGACAATCCCCTACTGTAGGTTCCCCACCGATATCCTCCAGCAGAGCTTGTCCCAAGCCAACCCTCCCCCCAAACGGGACCCCATTCCACCTAAGGTCCTTGCCCCCCCCAAAGCAGAGCCTAAGGTAACCAACACACATGAGCAGTCTAACCACAAACCCATACCTGCATCCTCATTAGACTGCTAACTGTATCAGGCAAACCCCTCATAGGCCAGGACCCAACATACAACACCATGGACAGTCCCCTGGGTGGTGCGCAGGCAATGTCTGTAATAGTACCATGCGTCAGCTCAGGGGAGTGTGTGTCCAGCCGTGCGTCATTCTAACGCCCTGCCGGTGTCCATGCGCAAGGCTGCGGAGTTTTGAACCCGCAACCTCATACCACAATGCGCATTTCCAACCGGTGCTTTAACCACTGAGCTTTCTTCTTCTACTTCACGTGCTTACGCTCTTAGTCAATAGTTCTGTGACATCACAGCACAAAATACTTGTCCTGTTCCCCCACGCACTCGCTCTCGTCCTTCTATTCGCACCATTCATGAACGGCCTCCTCACAAACCCTTGGCTAGCACAACGGCTACTTCGTCCTGTCTCAGCACTGCTTTGCAAGGCGTGATYTCTACTCTTCGTGAGAAAGACACTGAGCTTTATCAACAGGAAGGTGTTCGACGGTGCTGGATCGTCCAGTGTGCCGATGAGGTGGCGATTGACCTGAAAAACAATGTGTCCTCTCTACGTGGCCTCTCTCCTCGCACGGTTGATTTCACCACAATGTACACCAACCTTCCTCATGACCGCATTTTAAATAATGTGGCAAAGGCTGTTGATGAAGCTCATGCTTATGCTCTTCAGCATACCCGCATGCATTCGCGCTGCAAAGCCTTGAACATGTTCATTCGCGGGCCTTGCTCTGGCCAATGGACAACCGATTCAGGACCAGACAGCCTTACCGTTTCTCAGATTCTCCAACATCTTCGCTTTGTTGTAGAAAACATTTTTCTGTACACTAGAGATGRCACTCTTCGAAAGCAAATCATTGGTATTCCAATGAGAACAAATGCTGGCCCAGAAATCTCCAATCTAACGCTCTATTGGGATGAAGCACGTTTTATTGATGACATTCATCAACATGATCCCCAAGCTGCTCAGCGATACGCCTTCACTTACCGCCTCATTGATGATGTTCTTTCATGGGGGCAATTACCTCCTCCTTCAGAGCACTATGGGCTTGAGTGGAAGAAAACTACTGCTACAGATGGCTCGTGTACCTTTTTAGGTATGCATCTACGAGTACGTTCTGATGGTTCGCTTCGCAT